GCCATCCTGTGCTGTTTTCGAGGAAGTGTTTAAGGTCATCAGAGGGAGCTTCCACAGTCCATGTAGGGTAGTATTCACTTGGATGGAACACGCAGCCTTCATTGGCTGTTGTCGGCATCAGGCCTGACTGTGTTTCGTTCATAAACAAGTCGCCTTCAGATTTTATGCTGCCTGTGCACTCTTCCGATTTATCAGTTGCCTGCAAAAAAAGAATGATATGCTCGCTGTGACTCTTTAGCATGTTGGGATTCCTTTAGGACCAAGTTTGGATTGAGGATCTTAAAAATCCTCTTGGTTTGACAATCATAGAATTTGAGAGAGAGCGTTGAAAAATAAAAAAGTTTTTTGTTGGAATTTGTTTAGAAAGAGAGTCTGATTTTGTGGCTACCACATGCTTCTTTCTTTAGAAGGAAAGCGAAGTTTTTTCGTGCACACGAAAAAAGGAAAGGAAGAGGAGTTTTATGGGACAGAGTGAGCATAGGTATAGCCCTCTAAAAGCATCCAAACTGACCCTTAAAAAACTGAAACAGGATGATCAATGTAGACTATTGATGTCCGATATAGGGGTCGGTCGCATTAGAGGCTCAATAGGAATGCTCCATATAACCTTACCTTCTCAGACAGATACTTAAAGGCCACTTTCTTCTGTCCAGCTTCATATATGTTGCACTCCGAGTATATCTGACAAAGAAGAAGAGAAAAAACTAACAAAAATTGAACATGTTTTTGGTAAAGGTACAATTTGGCTGATGGTAAAAGTGCAATCTCCTTTCATTTTAGATGTTCCAGAAAAAAAAAAGCAAAATTTTACCCTTTTTTTATGAATATGTTTTCCCATTATTCGCTGATTTAGTGAGCAAAATAAAATAAGATGGAGTTTCGTAAACAAACAAAAACTTGACGACTAAGGTGAAAAGCACAAAAAAAGGTACCAAATGAGACCAAAAAACTCTTACCAGCTCGAGTTCCAAAAGTCTTGGGAGATTCAAGGCAATCAAAGAAACACAACAAAAAGAATCCAATTTTAAAAGAATGGATACCTGAGACTCAACACTGGCACAAACAGCATATATCCGCCAGCCTCTCGTATAGTTATTGTACAAATGCACCTTTGCAAACCTAACACGAGGATGACGCTGTCTTGTCCCATTGAAGAAACAATGATGTATGGTCACCTGCATACATCTATCGGTCACATTGGATGGATCTGCTCCAATCAATATTGTTTTGTCATGATTTGAGAAGTGACACCTGAATGCAGCACAAATATTCATATATGTTAACTAACAAATGTGACCAAATTCTTTTTTCTGATTAAAAAAAAATGCTTACTTGATCCATGCATGTCAAACTAACCTAGAAATAGTTATATCTGTACTCTCTCGGGTGATATCGATCAACCCATCATTGAAATCACTTAGGCTGCACCGGTCTATCCATATGTGTTTCGAATTGGGTTTGATCTGGATCCCATCAACATCGGCTCCTCTACCACCTTCAAGTTCTAGGTTGCAGACAATCACATGTTCACACTCCTTCAACCTCAACCCTTTCCCAGTGAGTTTTATCCTTTGGCCTCTCCCGTCAATGGTTTTGTACGATGAAACACTTAAATAAGACCTAAGCTCAATGGTCCCTGAAAGGTCAAACACAATCCAGAGAGGTTCTTGCTTGCGACATCCATCCCGAAGAGACCCCGGTCCATCATCTGCAGGTTTGAACCAAGAAATGCAAAAATTTCAGCCTAAAAGAATAATTTGGAGCCGGGAAAAGAATACAGAGTAATTAATTTGCAATAAAACTACTATCACTAGCCTTGGGTTTGCTCAAACCCCTTCCCCTTTTCCTTCCCTTGTCTATTATGATTTTTTGGATACATTGAAATGTGAATGAATGTTGACATAAAGTATGTCTACATTCATTGAGCTTCCTAAAAGGGCACACAAACATTTTTTGAGCTTCTACCCACTAAACCACTCCAAGAAGAATCTGTCTGCACTATAAAGGGACCAGTAAAAAAGTAAGGTAATTTGCTAAGAGAGTAAAAATTTATCCCATCCCGAAGCAAAATCGCCCATTAAAAACAAAAAAGATCAAATTTTTATCGTGTGAGCTCATTGAAGCATATGCACAAACGAGTAGGGGGCGTGAGCTGACCTGCCAAAGTAGTGACGTGATAGAGAGGGCCCTGGAGGCCGCCAATGGCGGAGCGGCCGAAACCTTCGGCCCCGCCAGCCAGAGCTCGCAAGGTGGAGTCGGCGTCGAGATAGGGCTTAACAGGACCCATCTTCGAACACTGCGGCCGCTGAGTTGGTGGTGGTGGAGCAGAGTGGTTGGGAGGACCATATTTATAGGTCTGCGGTGGAGGAGGTGCGGGGACGGGTTGGTGGCGCCGTCGGGAGCCGGAGTAGCGGCCGTGGCAGTTACCCATACACTGGTACGGAGTATTTAAGATGAAAGAGGAAGAAGAAGAAGAAGAAGAAGAAGAAAGGAATAAATGATGTGCTGAAACGGATTTTCTTTTGCTAAATCTAACGCTCCAATTTGCCACCAATTGTATTAATGTTCAATTACTTTTTCTCAGTAACTCTCCAATTTGGTGGTCCTAAGAATGGGGTTTATCTTTTTTTTAATTTTTTAAAAATATGTTTTGTTACTACAAGTCTACAACTTCTATCCCAACTTGTATCTTGGTGCAAAAAAAAAAAGTTGAAAAAAAATAAGAAATGTGTGGTGCAAAGAGAGATGTGCAAGTTGGGTACTTGGTATACTCCAAGCATTATTTTTTTCTTTTACTCCGTCTCTTCTGTATTATTCATACAAAATCTAACTAAAAAACTACTCTATATAAAACTTATTTTGGAACAGACTAAAATGAAAAGTGAAACGGTTAATCTGCGAGAAGTTATTCGTAAATGAGTACTCGATCGTTGCGGATGTACGAAAAATACTGTACATCCGGTTGTACCATATATATTACTCATCTTCATTGATAGCCATATTATGAATGCCTATAGTGTATACCCGAATGTGTTGTATTTTTCGTAAATGTCAAATACTCATTCATGAGTGACATAATGTTTATTTCACATATTCTTTATTTTAGTTGTACATCCATCCATCATATGCTCATTAGCTAGAAATACAATATTCATTTTCACATGCTTATTTTACAATATATTTAAAACAAGCGGATAATAAAATGTATTTATACACATATGAGAACTACATAATACTCATTACAATTATACAAAATATACATTTACGAGAAACATATATAACGTAACACTCATTTCATACATGGTACATAATATTTACCGTCAAAATTTATTATCGATCTTCATCCTTTAACAAGCTATCGAAAGACACCAAGCATTGATGTAAGAAGTCGATCACCGCGTGCTGCAGGAAATGTCAATTATGGACTTTCCTTCCTTCACAATCAAAGTGAGATGCATGGAAAATATTCGATTGTATGGAAATAGCCATATTGCCAAAGGTACGACATAAGTTGTGCCATATTACGCTTCAATTTTCATTAACCTTTTTTTTAATGGGTCAATTCAGCCTAGACGAGTTACACCCACTCGTAACTAATTATATCATAACTTGACTGTACAGGGAAGAACTGTACAAGTAATGTCAAATTTGTAATTTCTGTGCGCTAGAGCCTGATTACCGTAACACTGTGCTGAGGAGCGACAGAACCTTGAGTTCAGCGAAGTGTGCGGTGGCAATAATCGATATTATCAATTGAAGATGAAGACGACCACATGGATCAAGGGAGGAAACCCTAGTTGCGTCGATCAGGATTGAATAAAGGTGCAACAAATGAGATGAACAGAGGTGGTGGCAATGTTTGAAGCAACGCACATCGTCTGCGGTCGCCTCCTTCGAGATGTAGGTGGTGGTGGTCTATTTCAGGATTGAGGTGGTTGGTAGTGTCCTATGATACCGTGAGTATTTCTAAATTAAAATTATGTTACTCGTAGATAATCATTTTATATAATTGTAATGAACATCATGTTTATTTTCTAAATTTGTTTAAACACACATTCTTAAATGTGTGAAAATAAACATTTTATTTTACATAAAATAAACATTTAACTGATATGAAACCAATACAAAAAAAAGCAATGCTAGTGGTCCACCAAAGGTGTACTCCAAATGTACACCACCCCCTTCTCTATCACTCATTTTTATTTGATTTTTATTTTTTTTATTTTCTTGCCCAATTATGCGGACAAAGAGGTGGTGGGGGACAAATGGGGTACACCTTTGGTATACCCCTAACATTTTTCAACAAAAAATTATTCAAAATGAACATTTTACTATTCCCTCCGTCTGGAAATATTCTTCTCATTCGACTTTTCTTAGTCAAAGTTTATAAACTTTGACTATGATATGTGGAAAAAATATATTGTATTACGATATAAATTTAATATGAATATATTCATTTTGAAATATAGTTTTCAAATATCAAATTTTTTCATAAAATATATCTATACATAAATAAAAATATTGGAGGTCAAAATACAATTTTGAAGACCGTAAACGCCAAATGAGAAGAATATTTATGGACGAAGGAAGTATTACTTAATAAATTTAGTGGGATTGCAAATTTACTTAGGAGTAGTAGTATTAGTGGATGTTCCCGAGCACAACAATGAGTTGTCAGTTGACGGCTCCATAACGAACGAAAGTCAACAATAACCAATTCCTGGCGGGAAAAAGAATCCGAATTATGCGACCCCTCTCGCGTCGTTAAGATTGCCATCCCCCGGCGGCGTCTTCATCATGCTTCCCTCTCTTATTCCCCTCCCACCACCACCACCACCGGTCCACCACCGCCGTCGCCTCCTCCTCCTTCTCCGACAGCATCACCGCCATTCTCATTTCTCTCTTCTCGGCAGTCCCACATATTTATTGTAACCCTATTTTGACTCATACACATCGCGTCACGATTATTTGCATATTTATATAGAAAGCCTCACCACATCGATGAATTCCTTCTTCAGATAATGTTAATTTGTATATTACTGTCATGATTGCATCCGTATTCTTCTCGTTCGTTAAATTTTTGAAATCTGTAATCGTGAAAAGATAAAAATCGGAATGGATCCGGAGATGGGGATGCCTAGCCCTAATCCGAACAACGCGTACGGAGAGCCTCCGTCGCCGTCTCCCTCTCCGTCCCCTCGAGCGCCGGCACTGGTGGTTTCCAATTCCAGCAAGTCGCTGGCCGTGTCTAACTCTGCCAAGGCTTTGCTCGTTTCTAATTCTGCCAAGGCTCTGCTGGCATCGAGTTCCAGTAAAAGGATGGACGCTTCCGGGAAGAAGAAGTACGTGAAGCAAGTGACAGGCAAGCACAATGACACGGAGCTACATCTGGCGGCTCAGCGTGGGGATCTGGCGGCAGTGAGGCTGATCCTGGAAGAGATTAACGAGCAGATGCTCAAGACGATGACCGGGGCTGAGTTTGATGCGGAGGTGGCGGAGATTAGGGCAGCCATGGTGAATGAGGTGAATGAATTGGGGGAGACGGCACTGTTCACCGCGGCTGAGAGGGGATACATTGATGTGGTTAAGGAGTTGCTTCCTTACACAACCAAAGAGGGGATTACTATTAAGAATCGGTCGGGTTTCGATGCCTTGCACATTGCTGCCAATCAAGGCCATGAAGGTAGGTAGTTCCCATTTGATAATCTGCATTCACTTCATAGATATGTGCTCATTTCATCTGGGACTCTTTTCTTCCCCCCTAGAAGATGAATCCTTTCCACCTGCAAGAAAATGTTGCAAATTTGATTGTTTTTTAAATGATTGTTGGTTGCTCATCAAGTCTTGTGTCTTACAATGCTTAAGCTTTTAGTTACAGAATAATAAGTAGTTGCAGGCTTGCAGCCATGTGCAATGCAGTTTTTCAAATTTATTTCATCATTGATTGTGTATGTGACTGTTTCAATCCATCCCAATGAGTAGATACATAACTTGTGCATGAAATTATGGAATAAAAAGAAGGGAAATTTATTCAAATAGTAAAATATAATGACTTTTTCCTAAATATCATCATATGTGTTTTTTTCCCAATGTAGCACATTTAGTCATTATTCAAGTAAATGTCCGTCATCACTCGACATTATTCCTCCTTCTGGACTTTATTAAGTGTTATTTAGGGCATAAAACAATTTAAGTGCTATTTAGGGAATTTCCATCATCTCCGATGGAGCCAAAATTTCACCATTTTTTGGCTTTGGGGTGTGATGGAATAAATCAAAATGGATCTCTAAACTATCTGCGCTTCTTTAAATAATGAAGTAGCAGTTAGTCAAACAATGCAACTTTCGATGTTGAGCCGGGGGTCTCTTTGGAAATAGCCTCTCTACTTTCAAGTAGGGGCAAGGTCTGCGTACACACATTCTCCCCAGACCCTACTCTTGTGGGATTTAACTGGGTTGTTGTTGCTATTTAGGGAAATGACTTAAGTTTTAGTTCTATTTAGTGCAAATATTTCATAAAAAGAATGTTCCATATGCAGTCATCTTGTTATATATGTGCAGCTATTGTAAAGTTGCTGTTGGATCACGATTCGGAACTAAGCAAGACAATCGGTCAATTGAATGCAACTCCTCTTATATCAGCAGCCACTAAAGGTCATGCAGTAGTTGTCAATGAGTTACTCACCAAGGATTCTAGCCTGTTAGAGATTGCCAAGTCGAATGGCAAGAATGCGTTACATTTCGCTTCGCGCCAGGGGCACGTGGAGGTCGTTAAAGTGTTGCTGGGAAAGGACCCGCAACTGGCAAGAAGAACTGATAAGAAAGGACAAACTGCTTTGCACATGGCTGCAAAGGGCACTAGCTCTAAGGTGGTAAGGCTGCTTCTCCAGGCAGATGCAGCCACTGTTATGCTCCCTGACAAGTTTGGTAATACTGCTCTGCATGTTGCCACAAGGAAAAAGAGGGTTGAGGTATGATCCTATTTTATTTCTGCAGCTCTTGTAGTTTTCTCGATATATATATATATATATATGTTCATCCATATAGTCGGGATTAGGTGGCGTCAAATATATTTATATTTTATGATGTTTAAATAGTTGTACCTGGTTAAAATCTAAGAGTTTTACCTTTGTGAAACAATACCCTTTTTATGGGATGGTGAGTATAAAAGGTCGAGGTTGAGATAGTCAAGGATTTTAGAATAGAGATTTAAACACAACTTTAATCCTTTGCCAACGGTGCTAAAAGAGTCATGTTGACAACATTTGAGCTTCAGATAAATAATGTACTAAATCAAAATGACACATTAAGCTACTCATTTGTTTCTTTCCATGAAGTTTTGGAAATTAAATGCAGCAATGCATCAAGGGTCCTGAGACAACCTCTCTCTTTTATGAGGGGTGAAGTTGTGTGTACATCTTGGCCCCAAAAATTATACTGGTTTGCTGTTGTAACTTTAAACACAACTAATGGTATATATGATTGTGGTCATATGGAACCATGAATGACAATAGCTTCTTGAATAAAATGGGCTCACATAAGTTTTATTTCATCAATATATATATCACAGATAGTGAATGAGCTCTTACTGATCCGTGATACCAATGTCAACGCTCTGACAAGAGACAACAAAACATCACTTGACATAGCTGAAGGGCTTTCTTTCTGTGAAGAAATCGGAGAAATAAAGGAATGCTTGACACGTTTCGGTGCCATTAGAGCAAAGGAACTAAACCAGCCGCGCGACGAGCTTAGGAAAACCGTAACAGAGATTAAAAAAGATGTACACACACAGCTCGAACACGCTCGCAAGACTAACAAGAACATGAATGGCATTGCTAAGGAGCTTAGGAAGCTCCACAGAGAAGGAATCAACAATGCCACCAATTCAGTCACTGTCGTCGCCGTGCTGTTTGCCACTGTTGCCTTCTCGGCCATTTTCACAGTCCCCGGGGGCGACGATGAAGATGGGAAGGCAGTCATGGTGGGCACCTCAGCTTTCAAGATCTTTTTCATCTCCAATGCCGTTGCACTCTTCACGTCTCTGGCTGTGGTGGTTGTACAAATCACAGTGGTGAGGAGAGAAATAAAATCCGAAAGAAGGGTTGTGGAGGTGATCAATAAGTTGATGTGGTTGGCCTCGGTTTGCACCACGCTCGCGTTTGTCTCATCGGCTTATATAGTTGTTGGGAAACGGCATAGGTTCGCCGCAGTTCTTGTTACTGTGATAGGTGGGGTGATCATGGCTGGGGTTCTAGGCTCCATGACTTACTATGTGGTGAAGTACAAAAGGATTAGGAAAGTGAGGAAAAAGCAGAAGTTTTCGAGGGGTGGTGGGAACAATTCATGGAGATATTCAGACTTTTCTGAATCAGAAGTTAACTCAATATATGCAATCTGATTGATAGATGGCTTCTTAATTGGTTAGCTAGGGATACAAATCCAGAGGTGTAAATATTGGATTTGCACTGTTGTACATGAAAAAAATCCATTGGAGCTCACATATTTTTGTTTGTCTACTGAGCATTTTAATCAAACTTGCCAAATTCCCATTTTATTTTCAATGCTCTTTCTTGCAAAAAGTGGAATGAAGTTGTGGTTGTTGACTTGTAGTATAGGAATGTCATTTCATTATCCCTTATTAATTACTGACTCTATCCAAAAATTATCTTCTCACTTACACTTGACACGCTTGTTTAGAAAACAAAATTGCAAAATAGGCCCGTAACTCATAGAGAAGGGGCGCCTCCTCACAAAGGGAAAGGGGTTGGAGTGACTTTTTACCAAAAACATGGTCAATTCTTTATCTGAATTTCATAGAAACATTGTCAAACACAATTTTTCTTATATGGAAACATGAAGAAAATTATAGGACTACCAGAGTAGGAAAGCCCGAAGAAAATTTTAGGATGGAGAGAACACATAGCATGTAGGAGATTATGTGAATGCTATTAGGTTATGATGATAGATGAATGTCCTTAGTATTTGTCTAATTAAAGACAACAACAATTGATGTGTTTCTCTGTGGTAGTGCTTATTGGCTTATTGTTAATAAATAATTTTGTAAGTTATAAGTTGCTTATAAGTTAAATATTTTTTTCATGGAAGTAAAATGAATTAAATGACACATAAGTTATTTAGGAATATTCATAAATGGTGAGGAAGAATTTCGTAAATAATCTGGTCAAAACAGTTTTTTGAAAAAACTGGCTTAAAAATAAGTAGGCAAGATTTACTTATTTTTCTGCCCTATAAGCAACATAGAAGTCAACTTATAAGCAAAGATGAATATGTCATCAGGTGACTTATATATATATGTTAAAAACAAGTTATAAGTAGTTTTGACTAGCTTATAAATACAAAGAAACGCCTACTACACTGTATGTCATGCATGCATGCCTTGAATCAATCTAGCCCAATATAATAATCACCCAATTATATTGGATCATTTAATAATTTCTTTTTTTCCAAGCTTTGGCTCCAGTTCCTCTGCATGAAATGAACCAACTTCATTTTTCTGTATTCTTGAAATGGACAGAGAAGAAGAGCCCAACAGTGCCCAAACAAAAACCAAGTCTCATCATATCTATCTCACATTACATTGTCTGCAATCCCAAGCATGTCCACTCTATGTTGTCTCTTACTTGCCTTATCTATTGAGCTTAACTGTTCTCATCATCACAACTAAAAGCTGATGGTTGGATTAAGCTGTAATTTAACCACACACATTAACTAATTATTCATTAATCATATCTCAAACATCATCTGCAAAATAATGGTTTGGCACAAAGTTGATCATGAATTTTGAAAGCCCTACTTGCCTTGTTTTGACTTCAGAAAGAAAATGTTGTTTACTTATTTGTATGTATATATATATATTTGATATGACCACATGCATCACTTTTCGAACTGGTCCTAGTAGTATGTACTTTTCAGTGCAGAAGTACATGCAGTGCACTTTCTTTTTTTTCTCTTCATGAGAGCTCCTGTTAGGATATGTCACTGTATGGGCAAGAAGAAGTATATAGCATGTTCAACAATTAGAAAAAAAAAATAGTGAAAACTAGTGAAGAGAAGAAACCCCTTGAAAGAGGGTTGTTTCTGCTAGATCCTTGATGTATTGCTGAATCTTGTACTACAAAAAAAAAATCATAAAAGTACTAAGAAGCAACCAACAACAAACCCAAAACAATAATTTCAACTGTGTTGTAAACTTAATCTTAGGTTAAATTGCACCATTAGGGCTTTTTTTCTTCATTAGATTTTATTGGGTTTGATCCGATTGGAATAAGTTATGATCTGATCTGGTCTAATTTGGTTTGGTCCGGTCTTATCTAATTGTAGTTATATTGAAACCCGTTTTTTATTTGACCTAGGCCATGTTCTCTTCAACTTTTAATTATTACTTATTCCTTTTTCTTATTGGAATCAATTCAGTTGAGATCAGATTAAGTCAGACAAGACCAGATCATATCAGAAATAGCTCTAAATATAACTACATTCAAATCAGATGAGATCTTAACTATTCTAATCAGATCTGAGGCATTCAGATCAGGTGAAGAGAGCATGACCTTAGTCCGATCTGATTCCAATAAGAATAAGTGATATGAATAACTTGAAGAGAAGAAGCTCTTAGCCATTCAAGTTAATTTATAATGCACGATTAGTTCTTCAACTCTAAAAATTCCACAAATAATCCTTCAAATCACATTAGCGTTGCATAGTTGGTCCTTCCATTAACTTTGTCATTGATCTATGTATTTTTTCCGTTAAGTGTACGAAGTACTAATGTATTACTTCCTATCGCTCGTAAAAAATGAAAATATAAATAAAAAATTAAAAATTTATCTTCCCAGAGAACCCTAAAAATCATTGAATCTTAGAGAAGTTAGAAAAGGAGAAAACTTTGGGTGATCGGGTAGTTAGAAAAGATAAATTCTTTTAGTAAGAAAATGGAAAGAAATTACCTCAAATAGAAGTAAAATATACGGAGTATCATTTATTTTTAAAATAGAATTTCCATGTTTTTTATTTTAAAAATAAGAGTTTCTACTGTGACATTATGTCAATGTATTAAAGTACCATTCTACTATTTTTTCGATACTTCATATTTACATTATTGGCATTGTGCTTTTATTTTGAAATAAAAAACATAGCTCCTACTTTAATATTTTAGCCACATTTTACTCCTAATTAAGGACATGTTTGGGAATAGCTTTAGCGATTAGCGTTAGCGTTTTGAAAAGGCTATCGACGAGCAGCATTTAGCGTTAGCGTTTTCAAAGTAATCTGCACCGTTAAAATTTTATCCAAAACGCTAACGCTAATCTCTAACGCTATTCCCAAACAGGCCCTAAGTCATTCTCCAAAATGATCGTCCCCATTTTGGGTTGTATTAATCTCTTTTGTTTATATTAAAAAAAGTCTCCATCGTATTAATACCGATTACAACCCTATAGTGTCTCCATTCTCTTTTTTTCAATGATTTTTTAGGGTTTTAATAATAAATTAATTTTTTTATTTCTTAATTTATAATTATATTTTTTTATGAATGAAAGGAAGTAATAGGTTAATATACCATATCACAGTGTGTATATATATATATATATATATATATATATATATATATATATATATATATATATAATACGAGTTTTAAACTTTTGACAGATAACAATCGCTGACAAGATATAATCGTCTGTGAATTATGTGTGTTCATAGACGAATATATTATGTGCCTATATCCATATTGTCAAAGTTGGTGCTATTCTTTTATATCCTAGTAAAATATATTCCTTCCGTTACAAAATTAATTTTATATAGTCCGTTTGTCTCATAGTAAACTCTAGATTTTACATTTCTGCATTAGATCTAAGAAATTTTTTTTGAATGTGGTTGAAGTTTTCTGGTTTTCATTTTTCTTAATTTTGGTGAAGTCAAACGGCAAAGTTTGTTTTGAAGTTGAAGGAGTATTGTATCGTGGGTGAAATTTGCACTCAATTGAACTAAAACACAAGTCATTTCCTAATGTAGGACTTCAACTTTTTTATTCTCTAAATAGAACTTAATACTCCCTCCGTCCACAAATAAACTTTACGTTCATTATTCACATGGTCAAACTTTATTCACTTTGTTGGCCTATTTTCGTCACTCATTTGATAAAATAATATAGTCATGTCATCTCTAGTTTTGTAGATCTTTTGATATATTTTTTTAATATGTAATTTTTATTTTTCAATTCTACACCATTTTTCATATAAAATGATTTGAAATTAACTTCAGTGAAACATCGTAACGCGCAATGTAAAGTTTATTTGTGGACACAGGGAGTAATGACTAGTGAGAAGAATAATGTCCTAGTGATGCTGGACATTTAGTTGAATAATAACTAATAGATAATGACCAATTGTCCTATATTGGGAAATAAAAATATATAGTCCTATATTGAGAAAGTCACTATGTTTTATTCCTATTTAGGTAAATTGCTCTATTGTATTTGGGATGTTTATTTTTTTGTTAAAATTTATTTTAAATTTGTAATATCAAAACTTGTATGAAAAAAAACTGAGGGCCAACATATTTTTAGTTTAAACTTCTTAATTTTTATTTTTCTTTTACCAAAAAAGAAAAAAAACCTTTTTTTTATTTTCTAACTTGGCATCATGTCTTGTTTTAAAGGATGCCTTGCTGCTCTCTCCCTTCACTCACTACCAACACAAGCTCACAACTCCCAAGAAGCATCTATCCATCTCCTCAGCACAAAACTAAATGGCCACACACAGTTCCATTGTCCCTCCATTAAAACACATCAACAGATCTGCAGACCATGAAGAACAAGATGAAGATGAAGAATACATTGACATTGACATGGAAGTTATAAACTCTTCTTTTTCTTCTTCTTCTTCATATTCTTCATCTTCTTCACCACAGATGATAGAGTTTGAGTTCCAAATGTCTTCAAGTGTTGCAGAGAAAGAGGCCCCTACTTTCCCAGCAGATGACCTCTTCTACAGAGGTAACCTCCTCCCTCTTCACCTCCCTCCAAGGCTCCAAATGGTCCAAAAGCTCCTCCAAACCACCATTGTTGAAGACCCCAAATGGCCCAAAAGCTCAACAGCACCTCCCACAAAAACACCCACAACTCCATTGGACTCCTGCAACATTTCCCCATCTGAATCTTGCAGGGTGAGCTGTGAGCTCAGCCCTCAAGACTTCAACTTTGCCTGGTCAACTGATCTGTCCACTCTCATCAATGCCCACCCAAAGAAATCTTGGTCAAAGAAGCTCAAACTGGTCAAGAAGTCTCTGACTAGCAGCCACAAGATCAAGGCTTATCTCAAGGGGCTGTTCATCAAATCTGGAAGTGATCATCAGCCTTTTCCCAGAAGTCAAGATTTGGATGGTGTTCATGTGAAATCCTCATCTTCTCCAAACCCAACCATTGCTAGTGTGCTCAGGAATGGTGAGAAAGATGAGATTGAAGAAAATGTGGTGAATAGTCACAGCAGAAGGTCATTTTCATCTGCAATCAAGAGAACTAACAAGTGTTTGTCTTCTTCTTCTTCTTCTTCTTCTTCTTCTTCCTCGTCTTCTTCATCTGGTGTTTCCTCAACTTCTTCTTCATCTTCTTCAATTGGATTTCTATCAAATGAGCTCAAGAGGAGCAGCAGTGGCACTTCAGAGATTGAGAGCTCAATTGAAGCTGCAATTGCCCATTGCAGAAAGTCTCAAGAACTCAGCAACCCAACTAATCATCCATTATCATCAATTTTGAGTGAAAACAAATCTGGGGTTTCAAAGGTTGTTTCTTAGCTTGAAGAACCTGAAAGTGTTCTTCTTTTCACCTTCTTTTTTCCTTTTTGTGGAGACCCAGAGAGAGAGAGAGAGAGATCTAGTGTCTAAAATCTTGTTCTTGTGATTGTGAAGAAATAATAAATTCCAAAAGTTTAATTATTTACTAGTTATTTCTTCACTTATAACACTACAATTCTTGCAAGGAAATCCCCCCCCCCCCCACCCTGTTTTATCAAGTTATTATAGAATCTCATAAGAGGGATTTTTTTTAATGTTGAAAAAGAAGCATTGTGGTATTTTAATTTTATGTTTTCTTCATTGAGACATAATGGAACCAAGTGATCTTGTAAGAAAAAGAAATGGGTCAACAAGAAAATGAATCCTACAAAGTCAAAAAAAAAAAAGAAGAAAGAAAATGAATCCTACATTCCTTCCTACCAGTCTACCACCCACCGAAAGATCCAAAATTTTAGACAAAGCTTGCAACCACTTAAGCATTTTTTTTTGTTTTCACAAAAGAATTGTTTGAAATGCTCAAAAAATATCTTTTGCTTTAGAAAATACGAGTAATGTTTGAGATTAATAAAATGTTTCTTTTTATTTTATTTTATTTTATTTGGGTGTGTTGTGAATTACTCAGCTCACCCATCTTTAGCCCAGTCCCATAGCCCCAATGTCTCCTCATGGAGAACAAGACTTGACTGAATGTTTTTTTTAATTTATTTAAATAATGGTAAAAAAATTTTAATATTAAATTTATATATTTAAATATTAGAGTACATCAAAAGGTCTACTACCTCCTTCCCAGAGTATTTGTTCAATTTTAACTTTTTTTCAGTCAGTCATTTTTAACCTTTGACTCATAATTAAATAAAATATAAGGAGTATATTGTATATTGATTAGATAAAATAATATTTTGAAAATATTTAATATAATAAATCTAATCAAACTATTTTTTTATCAATATCTAATATCATTTTTATTTAATTGGGGGTCAAAGTTAGCCAATTTTGATCGAAAAAAGTCAAAAGTGGACAAATACTTTGGGACGGAGGGAGTATAATACAAGAAACATCATGATTATATATGTAATTTTGTCAAATGATTAAAGAAAATAAGTAAAGAATAGGAGTAAATTTTTTACATATGAATATTGTATTTATTCGTATTTTAGTTTTGGAACGGAGAGAGTATTTGATAGTTCTAACTTGTTTTTAGGTATATATTTAGGCATTGACTTAGATTTTGATTTTAGCAGTTTTCAAAACCTAGCAAGAAGGATTTTTAGTTTTGGCATTTTTAAATGTGCATCATTAAAAAAGGTATTCATAATTCGCTCAAATGTTAGTAAAAAATGTTTACCAGAAAATTTAGAGCACGTATTTTGTTAATATTAAAGCATCTCAAATCAGAAATTGAATTATTATCAAATTATTTGAGTTATACACCTCTTTGACAAAAGATTCTTCATTTTATATATTCCCCCAAAAAAGAATGTCAGTATGTCACATTTCCTTTTTCAACCATCACGGGAATTTTTGTTTATTTGTACGTTTTCATTAATTATTTGATAAAATAAAATATTCTTGACATCTCTTATTTCGAAAAAATTTTCATGTAGTTTTTAAAAATGTAATTTTTTTTATTTTTATACTCGGAGTATCAATTTTTAAATAAAATAAATTGAAAAACTTAATATTTTGACTTGTTTTGCGAAATGTGGCAAATATTTTATGAAGGTACAGTTGTACCATGTTCCTCTATAGATCTGCCAATGCCTATCACACATCTTTGAATCTTTGATGATGATGATGACAAACTTTTCACAAGTCCATATTTTCTTTTCTTTTTTTTTTAATCTTTTTCTTTCCTTGCATTATTGCTTTCTTGACCTTTCTACTTGGAAGACAATTGTAGCATATTCTAAACTTGTTGTGTATGTGCAAAAATTGCCAAACAAAAAAAAAATCACTTTTTTTTCTTTTCCATTCAGCAGCTGAAGATTACTGCACTGTGATGGAAATGAATGTAAAAGTGGAGAATCTGAAAGAAAAAACTTTACAAAAGAAAAAGTGAAAGCTGTTAAGAGAAATTTCAAAGAGAGGAATTGGAGAAAGAAAATATGGCATTCCCAAAGCCCAGAAAGAAATTGCAGAGAAAAGGGTTTGTCTTTAATTTAATGTCAGACTCCCTTTTATGCCACTTCTTCAGCTCATTAATTTTAAGTTTTAACTAAAAAAAGAAATACTCTCGGTCCTATTACAATCTTTTTTCGCTCTCGATAACTTTTGTTTATTTGTGTGTTTTCATTGAATATTTGGTAAAATAAAATATTTTTGTCACTTCTCGTTTTATAGAACTTTTGACGTAATTTTTTAATATGTGATTTTTATTTCTTATTTTATATTAATTTGTAAATAAAATAATTTCAAAAGAAGAGGAACGAAGGGGTGGATAATTTGCCTCGTAACTCCTAATTTATAATCAAATCAGGGATAGATGAAGTAGAAAATTTGGGCTTGTTATTAAACCAAGAGAGACAAAATCATAGGGTGTTAGGCTTGAATTCAAGGCACACAAAAATCAAGGGGTAGTGTAGGGTGCCTAGATTAATTAAGTGATTTGGATGGAAACCTATAAACGCCATTTGTTAGGTGGAAATAAATAATGCTCCAATGAAAAATAAATTAAATTCTATTTCCCAAATTAATTCTTCTCATTTTCTTTTTGGGCTATCTTAAGTTAATTTCTTCTTTCTTTTTTTGGAAAACCTTTTGTGCTCACCTTTTTTCTCTTCTCTGCATCATTTTCAATTACACAATCTCATTTTTTTAAACTTCGTGCAAAGATAAACTATCAAGATTAACTTGGGACGGAGAGAATATAAGAGAAAAATAAATAAATAAATAAATAGAGGAATTCAATTTCTAAAAAAAAACTCGAGTGTTTAATTTGCGGTGGAATGATATGCAATTAATTTAAAAATGGGAGTGTTTGGAAATTTTTTAGTGGGATTGCTTAATTGCTTCAATTTTTTTGTGCAATGCTAGGTTCACAAACAGTATGGTTACAAACTTTACAAACTTACTGTTTATATCTTAAATTTTTATTTTAAAATTATTTTATATTATTTAATTTTTTTTATTAAAGTTCACAAATAGTAAGTTTATGAATTTTGTGACAATTTTGTTTGTGAATATAACATTTTTCACTTTCTTAAGATTACTTAAGCAATTGATGTTCGTTAGTCGCTCCACATCAGATCTGCATCATATTTTTTTGGAGAAGCAACTCACATAAGCAACCATACTAAAAATGATCTAAAGATCAGAACATCTTTAGTGAAGATGATCTTAGAACATCCTTATTGAGAGCATTAATTGAATACTCCTTCCGTCCCAATTTATGTTATGAGTTTACTATTAATAGAGTCAGACTTCAATTATATTTTTTACCCATTTTTCGCTGCATAATTGATAATATACTACATTCTTGTCACTATTTATTTTATAGATTTAATGATGTAGTTTTTAAATATGTAAATTCTATACTTTTTAATTTTTTGAATACAGTGTGAGGTCTCAAAATATATATGCAGAGAGGACCCAAGACACCCATTGTCCACTCTGCCGTTCCGAGTCTTGGAGAATGTCAAGTACACGGGACCCTTCCCACAATCTCCGCGAGATCCTAGAAAATGCTGAGGTCTAGAAAAAATCGAGATCTTGAAGCATGCATGCTGAGATCCTAGAGCCTCGGGTTCTCGAGCTAAATGCTGTTGGAATTTTTAGCTTGTAACGGGACAACTTCAGGCCTAAATTTGGTGGGGTCCACAAAATTATTTTTTCAAAATAATTATGGAAAAACAATCTCCCAAGTGAGATGAGTGTTTCGACAAATTGTGTGCCAAAATGGTGCTCAGCTGAATGAGAGATTACTTCACAAAGTCGGACACTTGGAAGGAGGAAACCCGGCCATGTATCCCACATCGGTTCTGGGACTTTTCACCTTCCACTATATATATGCTAGCATTGAATTGAATGTTCAAAGCAATTTGAGAAGGAGGAAGTAAAGGATACCTCGCGCGAATGCATGTTGGCGTGTGCGTGCACGTGCACGCGACGTGTTGTAATTTGCCAAGGACATGGTCAACTCTTATTGTTTTGCGAGACCGATTTGAACACAAATGCATTCTTCGTTAATTATGAAGAAGAACATCATACATGCACCTACGAAGGGACTCTCGTGACCCTTTGGTTTGTCCGCCTAAGTTGCCCATCCGTCCAAGCCTCGCCCTATATAAATGGGACTTCAGAGCACAACAGAAGACACAAGCAATTAGCAATCCATCTCTCTCTGCGTTCCAACTCTCTGTTTCCGATCACTTTTCAAGCAAGTAACTCTCCGTTCGTTCTTGTTCGTCAGTGCACGGTTCCACCACTCTAGATCTTATACGTTAGCGGTTTTATCTTGGGAGGGGATCGTCCACTTTAGTCAGTGCGGGAGGCAGGCAATACTACCTTAAGTAAAGCTCCGACGACTCCGCTTTCCTTTCTATTCTATTCAACTTCCGACCACCGGCGACCTTTTCTTTTATTTTTTTTAAAATTTCCCCGTTGTGAAATACGAACAAATTATAAGTTTGGATTATTCTTTTTTTTTCCGCTGTAAACTTGTATTTCAACAATCTCAAGGTAGTACTAATAGATTTTGGATTCGGCATCGTGGGTTCCATCGGGCAACGGAATGAGTTCCGAAGCTATGGCGGGAACTACATCGATCGCTTGTAAGTGACCTCCTCACCACTATCCTTCGGATCCTGTGTGGGGCCGCTACCATGACCTCTTTCTCGATATCGAGTTCCATCTTTGGGTCGGCTCCTACCCTCATTCCGGGGTTTGGGACCTCAGATATGTATTCTGCCGGTTATGTACGGACAAACCCCTTTCTTGGACTGACATTGGCTTTGGACGTACTAGTGAGCACTTCTATGGGACCGACTGC